GGAAGGAATCATGTTATTCTTTTTTCTTCCTTAGCAACATAGAAAACAACATAGAAAAAGAAAGATCTTCAGTATTTATTTTTCAAAATTTTTTTTGTTCTTGATATTATTTGATTCAAAGGCTAACGAGCCTTAATTTAAATCAGAAGCCATGTGATCAAAAGAGAAGAAAGGATGGGAAGGAATCATGTTATTCTTTTTTCTTCCTTAGCAACATAGAAAACAACATACAAAAAGAAAGATCTTCAGTATTTATTTTTCAAAATTTTTTTTGTTCTTGATATTATTTGATTCAAAGGCTGACGAGCCTTAATTTAAATCAGAAGCCATGTGATTGCTCTAAAAGAGAAAGTATGTAGACTCGACTTGTAAGTGTCAGTTGGTGAGCCATCACAGGGTGGAGAAAGAGACACCTCCCTGTGATAAAAGACAATTAAGCCCCTAGGCTTTCCTTTCTCTGAAAACCTGTTATACCCGTGCTCTCAACTGTGAGCTTTAATTGAAGATTTCTCTTAATTAACCTAATACTCTTCGTTAGACTCAGCTAGAGACCTTTAGCTTTCAATTCCTCATTTTGTTTACTGCCTTTTATTTATTGCAGATTTTAATTTTCATGTAAAAGTGTGCCTTTAGGCTGGAAACATCTTGGTTCCTGCTATCTTCTACTGTTCAGCCAGGCCATCATGTGGTTCCTAACTTTTGGAGTAGCGTGATGGACAGACCCATTGCCTCTTTAAAAGACCCTTTCCTGTCTGTGTACAGGGAGTTTTCATTGAGCACTCAAAGCTGTTAATGATCATTTAGAAGAAAAGAACTAGATACAGGGTGATTCTTCACTCTTTCAATGCCTTGAATAAACTGAAAGGGTTTGTCTGGTATCTTTCATCTACTGAACAGAGAGCAGGGGCAATGGAGGCTCTATCTAATGTCCCAGAATTTAGCATCTTGTATTTTTATTTTATAAACAGGTACAAGTGACTCAAACACACAAAGCCATTGCCAATGCTTTAATAAAGCCTGAAATGAATTTACCAAAAGATGAGTCTTGTTATTGTTAGAGATTAAGCTGCTTCCTCCATGTGGGCAAAAGAATCATCTCAAGTATTTATATAAAACGTATTTGTTATAGCTTAGAAAACAAAACAAGCATGAAAACTTCAAAGGGCAGCAGAGGTTGTAGAAGGTCTGGAATGTACGAATACAGTTTATATTTAAGGACCTGTACATTTGGGAAAGACAGAATGTGGATGAAAATAGATCTTACAGGACTTTGAATTTTAGCATTGGTGCAACTTCTGGTAAAATTCATCATAGCAATGTTGGCTTTTAAAAATGTCAAGGTATGCTTCTCCAATTTGAAGACTCTCTAGAAGCATCATTGGAATTGATTGATTAGTGACCATCTTTGCTGGAAGGGTATAGTTTGTGGGTCATAATTATTCTCCAATCTCCCTTCTAGATAGTTCTCTTCTTTTCTTGCATTTGCTAACATTCCCAGTCTCATCATTCTGCTGGATGCTGTCATGTGTTGAATATTCTTCTAGGTAGTTTTCTATGTCCCTGACCCTCCATGACATATTCTCAAAGTGTGTTCTCCAGACAAGCATCATTAGCCTCAGGAGAGAGGGAATGTATCACATTAGACACACAAATACCCTAGCCTCACCCCAGGCCAACGTAATGAGAAACTCTGGAGGTGGGGGGCGTTCAGCAATCTGGTTTTAACAAGCTTTCCTGGTGATTTTGGTTGCCACTGCAATCTGGGAACCACTGTCATAGCCAAACAGGGTATCTTTTTCTTCTACCTGTACAAGGCTCTGCTTTTTGACTTGTAAAGTGACTTATAGTTACCTGATAATCTGTTTGAAGCACTCATGACTAAACGGAAGAAGATCTTGAAGGGTACATTATCAAA